TCTTCATGATATTTTTTGCTTGCTTTGAAAGTACCAATAACGTTTCGTTAATCTAAAATTTATTTATAGAAATCTGGAAAAATAATAAAATTAATTTTTTTTATTGAAAGTTATCATTCTACATTATAATCAAGATAGCGTATTGCTATCAAACCACAAACAATCGAAACGTTATTGGTACTTTCAAAGCAAGCAAAACATATCATGAAGAATAATTTTTTTTCATAAATCAATATTTAAAAAAAAATTCCCTCTTGTATACCCCATCGCTTTACACACTGTATATTTGAAGAGAATTTAATATGCTATCTTTTTAGATTAAAAAATACAGGGTGTTCGATTTACAAAAATGAGGTTGGAGCGATAACTTTTTCTCCTGATCCCGTATACTTATTTTGAAAACGGCAAGCAATTCAACAATAATGAAACTTTTGTAACCAACATTCTGGTTCTCTCTTCGGCCACTCTAAAATTGACATTTTTGTATTTTCCCCCGTGTCTTTTAAGCCAGCAAATGTTTTCAAATTTTGATTTTACCATTTTAAGTTTGACCCAAAAAGTGCACATGACACCCAGACGTAAGCTCTTGTTACGATGACTTCTGAAATCTTAGGTTTTCCCGATACAGAAAACCCAGTTAAGAGATTGGCAAATACATCTTACATTTGATGTTCTCCTAGTGCAAGGGCAAGAATCAAAAAAGGTTCAACGATGGATATCCCTTGAACCTTCTATTCTCCTGATACGGAAAGAGAAACAGTTGGAGTCCGAATACCTGGTGCAGCTTATTATGTACAGTGCATCCCATTGTGGGCAATTACGGACCATCAATTTCCCTCGCAATTTCCTTAGTTAAAAAAATGTGTATTACAAAAATAATTGTTGAATAAACGGTCGTTTTCAAAATAAGTATACGAGGCCAAAAAGTCCTAACTTCATTGTTTTAAATGGAACACCCTATAGTGAGAAAATAACATAAATTTTCTGTTCAAAAATAAAACTATCCACAAAAGATGTTACAAAAACTCAAGAATCTTTTTGACATATTTTTTTGTATTAAGTATTGTGAATCATTTAAGCTTTTTTAAATTTTTAACAAATTTTTTTTAATCTGCATTTTTTTAAATGTTTTGGACATTTTTTGTATTTTTTTAAAAATCATTTAAACCTTTTTTACACCATTTTTAGTCTTTTTGAATATTTTTGAATCTGAATCTTTTTTAAATATTACCCCTGGTGTGTTATATTTTAGAAAAGAGAATTTCATCTTTTTAGATTAAACTATGCAGGGTGAACCCACAAAGAGCATTAGACGCCTATATTAGTGAGATAAAAGTGTCGAAAATGGAACACCCTGTACTCTCCTCTCTTATTAGAATCATTCAACACTCGCCAGAAGAACAAGAAAAAAAATTTGTGGTAAATAAATATCTAAAAAAAAAATAATTAAAAAGTGGAATGCAATAGTCCCATTATCCTCGCACAGAGATTCGTCAAAACCAATCGTAATCTACTTACCAGGAGCACAAAACCTCGAAAAAAGTTTTTATACAATTACCTCTTACATTGTATGCTTTTCTGATACAGAGAGAAAAACCAGCTAAAAGAACTTGAATGGCAAATCCATCGAAGCTGTGATGTTCTCCTAATATACAGATTCGTCAATGCAAAGGAAAACGGATTCACAGAAATATTTCTTGAATACTTCTATTCTCCTAATACCGAACCAAATACCTCTCGTTTCTTCTAGAACCGTTCAACAAGAGAAACCAGTAAAAGGCTTTTGGCCCCGAGGCGCATATTCAGTGCAAACCTCTAACACAATCTGTTCTCCTAATACGTAAAAGAAAATATTTCTAATGGGAATAATCGAAAAAGAGGCTGAATGATAACTATCTCGACCACTAATACACAAAGAACAGGTCAAATTAAAAGACCAGTAATTCCATTAAGCAGCAAACACTTTCTATGCCCTATGTGTTCCTAATGCAGGTTTGATAAATAACAATGAACGACACTTATCTTTTCCACCTTCTGTTCTCGTAATACGTAAAGGAAAACATTTCTCAGGGGAATAATAGAAGAAGAGGTTGAATGATAACTATCTCGACCACTTTCTGTTCTCCTAATACACAAAGAACAGGTCAAATTAAAAGACCAGTAGTTCCATTAAGCAGCAAACACAATAGATTGCCCAGTTAAGATAATGGCAAATACATCTTACATTTGATGTTCTCCTAGTGCAAGGGCAAGAATACAAAATGGTTCAACGATGGATATCCCTTGAACCTTCTACTTTCCTGATACGGAAAGAAAAACAGTTGGGAGTCCGAATACCTGGTGCAACTTATGTACAGTGCATTCCATTGTGCTTACGGGGTACATAAAAATGTTTATTACAAAGGGGAATAATAGAGAAAGAGGTTGAATGATCACTATCTCGACCACGTTCTGTCCTCCCAATACACAAAGAACAGTTCAACTTAAAAGACCAGTAGTTCCATTAAGCAGCAAACACTTTCTATGCCCTATGTTCTCCTAATACAGGTTTTCTAAATGAGATTGAACGATACTTGTCTCTTCCACCTTCAGTTCTCCTCATACGTAAAGGAAAAGATTTATCGGGGGAATAATAGATAAAGAGGTTGAATGATAACTATCTCGACCACTTTCTATTCTCCTCATACACAAAGAACAGTTCAAATTAAAAGACCAGTAGTTCCATTAAGCAGCAAACACGTTCTCGTTACGGCCTTATGTTCTCCTAATACATAAAGGAAAACTTTTCTCAGAGGAATAATAGAAGAAGAGGTTGAATGATAACTATCTCGACCACTTTCTGTCCTCCTAATACACAAAGAACAGATCAAATTAAAAGACTAATAGTTCCATTAAGCAGCAAACACTTTCTATGCCCTATGTTCTTGTAATACAGGTTTGCTAAATGAGACTGCACGACACTTATCTCTTCCACCTTCTGTTCTCTTAATACGCAAAGGAAAATATTTCTCAGGGGAATAATTGAAAGAAGTTGAATGATAACTATCTCGACCAAGTTTTGTCCTCCTAATACACAGAACAGTTCAAATTAAAAGCCCAGTAGTTCCATTAAGCAGCAAACACTTTCTGTCTTATGTTCTCCTACTACAGATTTGCTAAATGAGATTGAACGACACTTATCTCTTGCACCATCTGTTCTCCTAATACGTAAAGGAAAACATTTCTCAGGGGAATACTAGAAAAAGAGGATAAATCACTACCTCGACCACTTTCTGTCCTCCTAATACACAAAGAACAGTTGAAATTAAAAGACCAGTAGTTCTATTAAGCAGCAAACACTTTCTGTCTTATGTTCTCCTAATACAGGGTTGCTAAGTGAGATTGAACGACACTTATCTGTTCCACCTTCTGTTCTCCTACTCATCTCTTCCACCCTCTGTTCTCCTGATACAAAAAGGAAAACAGTTCTCAGGGGAAAAATAGAAAAAGAGGTTGAATGGTAACTATCTCGAGCACTTTCTGTTCTCTTAATACACAAAAAAGAACAGTTCAAATTAAAAGACGAATAGTTTGATTAAATAGCAAACTCTTTCTATGTCATGTTCTCCTAATACAGGTTTGTTAAAAGAGGTTGAGCGATACCAATCTCTTCCAGCTTTTGTTCTTGTAATACTTAAAGGAAAACATTTCCCCAAGCAACAATAGAAAAAGAGGTTGAATGATAACTGTCTCGAGCACTCTCTGTTATCCTAATAATACACAAAAAAGAACAGTTGACATTAAAAGACAAGTTTAAAACACGAAAAAAACAAAAGTTGGAAACTGTTGGTTTCAACAGGATGTTGTCCTCGCGCACAACGCCCTAATCGTGCGAGAACATTTATCTTCTCCGTTACGAAGCATTATTATTGTTTACGGTTTACTATTTGGAAAAAAATCCGTGAAGCGGTTTGATCCACCTATTGATGAAATTTAACTACGCGATTTTGCCGAGCAGAACTGACAGCGCCTTGATCAATTCTTGTTCGACGTACAAGTTTTGTAACCTTGGGTTAAATGCACCGTTACACGTCGCATAAACCGGGTTAGATTTCCCGAAATGCTGCCAGAAAACCTTTTCTGAAGGAAAATTTTCAAAAAAGTTTTAAAAATCGCTAGAAGATTTTATATAATTAGCCCTAAGTCATCCCCGACCCCTGTATCTAAGACCAACGACAAAGTTTGAAAATCAATTTCAAATAAATGAAGCCTGTGTGTATGCATTTTATTGGCGACATTTAAGGGATGATGCTTGTCGACTTAATAATTAGGGTGCAAACAGCCCTAAATTCAACTTGACCGTCCTCACTCCGTGTACCCAAGCCAAACGACAAAGTTTGAAGGTTATTTTCAAAAAATGAGGTTTGTGTGTATAATTTCTTGTTATTGGGGGTAGAAGTTGCAACGCCTTACTTTCCTCTCCTGGGAACGGTGGTCATGTTGCTGCAACATCGAAGAGATGGAAGATTTACCCGAAACACGAGCAGATGAGTTAGAAACTCTTCCGGCCCATGTCAAAAATCAACAAGACAATTTAAACTCAAAATTCCCCCCGACAACAAATTTCAGAAAACCTAGACACGTGCGTGACAGATACGAATAATTGCGTTGAGATTTAAGGCAACGTTCCGTGCATATTTCGTAACCATTGTTAAGTAAAATGACCTCAAATTTTAATAGAACTATAGAAAAACAATTCCCGGAAACTTGCGGCAAAGTGCAAAGAAAATAGAAACGAAAGCGCGCCACTTTCACATTTTTGCGAATCCATCCGAAAAATGGCACCGAAATAAATTTGGCCAAAACGTAAACAAAAAGTAATTGAGCATAAATTAGACTACTTTCTTAATATTGTTTAATTGACGAAGTGAAAGTGAACGCCGCCGCTTTCATATTGTTCACTTTCACTCTGCAACTTTTGTTATAATTTGCACCTCCACCTCGCCCGCATCTTCACTCACCTAAAATGAGATGCAGTTTCGCATCCGTTTGGAAGGCATAGTGAAGTGTAACTAGAAATGGGCTATCGCGGACGGCTTCCAAGACCTGCCTCTCCGTTTTCGTGTGCTCCGTCGTCTTCTTCTTTTGAACGATCGTCGCCTTTTTGAGAACCTTCATGGCGTACAGCCGTCCGTGGTCCGATCCTCCGCGTTTGCGGACCAAGAACACCTTGCCATACGCTGAAACAAGAAGTTCATCTTTAGTAAATTTATAACATTATCAGGCGCCGAGAAAGCGCACCTAAATAAAAACGCAATTTCCCGATAAAAAACACGTGTAGGTACTAAAATCGTGTTATTATCAAACAGCGGGACTAAGGTCGAGGTAAATCTAATCAGATAACAAGGGTCGTTACGAGAATTATATCGCGTGTGTAATTTGCCGATTAGATTCGGGTAATAAATAAACAAAGAGTCTTTCATTAAAAATTTAATTAAGGAATCGAAAATGCATTGTACCAAAAGCAGTTTCCAGATTAAAAAGCCGCCGAGGATTTGATACTACAAAATACTCAATAGATCCCCGGGTAAATGTTCAGCTTAATTCTAAAGCAGTTTAGAAAAAATTATCAAAGTCCTCGTTTGAGATCGAAGGGACTTCAGCGCATTTTTGTGTGGCAGATCAGTATTCTATTAGCCACTTTCGATTCAACCATCAATAACAGATCTTGTCGAAGGCTACTACATTCAGTAACCGCTTCCCACTTTCCTCGTGCACCCGCAATTCGCGTTTGAAGATTTGACTCCACCATCAGGAAGATCGTGTCGGGGCTACCACATTCCCTTTTGACGGTACCCACTTCCGACGTCCCGTTCACCCGCAATTCGCGTTTGAAGATTTGACTCCACCATCAGGAAGATCGTGTCGGGGGCTACCACATTTCCTTTGACGGTACCCCCTTCCGACGTCCCGTTCACCCGCAATTCGCGATTGAAGATTTGACTCCACCATCAGTGAGATCGTGTCGGGGGCTACCACATTCCCTTTGACGGTACCCCTTCCGACGTCCCGTTCACCCGCAATTCGCGTTTGAAGATTTGACTCCACCATCAGGAAGATCGTGTCGGGGGCTACCACATTCCCTTTGACGGTACCCCTTCCGACGTCCCGTTCACCGCAATTCGCGTTTGAAGATTTGACTCCACCATCAGTGAGATCGTGTCGGGGGCTACCACATTCCACTTCCGACGTCCCGTTCACTCCCAATTCACTTCTATTGGCGACACGAGAAAGAGAGACAGCGATTCGAGATTCACGAAACGTTAAACCGCGTGAGTTCGCAACGGAAGGTAAAAGGCGCCTGACTACTTCTCGAAGACGCGCGCGCCGCCTTGCAAAAGGTCGTTAATTTCGCCCCTATGACAAAAAACAAAATTCCGCCACGCAGGAGTTGTGCGCGTTTACAACATCTTTCCGACGACACGAATTTCAAAAGAATCGGACCAAAACTGTAGTAGAAGATAGGAAAAAACTGAAAAACCTTCACGTTAGTATACTACGCTCGAGGATGACGCCCAGATGTCGCCAACCCCACATCATGTAGCCATGTCCCTAAGGTTGACAAATTTCACGGCCCTGTAGATACACGTATGTACACCCGTTGCCTTTCTACAAGAGTTCTTCTACGCGCCCACATTTGCTGCCAGCCAGCCAGCCAGCCAGCCAAAGTGAGATTAAAAGCTACTTTTTACAAAAAAAATTTTTTGCAAAAATGCGCTAAAAATGATCAAAGTCCTCGTGTGAGATCGAAGGAACTTCAGCGCATTTTTGTGTGGCAGATCAGTGTTTTATTAGCCAATATTGACTCCACCATCAATAAGATCTTGCCGAAAGCTACCACGTTCACTTTGTCGGTACCATTTTCTCACTTACCGTGCACTTGCAATTCGCGTTTGAAGTTTCGACTCCACCATCAGTAAGATCTCGTCGGGGGTTACCACATTCCCTTTGTCGATACACAGTTCCGACGTCCCGTTCATTCATAATTCACATTTTGGTAGATTTCGCTAAAATCCCGGCATAAAATCGTATTCAACTTTTGGGTACTTCACATAGCTCGACCTTCTATTAGTGACACGAGAAAGAGAGACCGCGATTCGCGCTGTAAGAAGCTTTTGGGCGCCCAAAGTCGACTACCCCTCGAAGCGCGCCGCGCAAAAGGTGGTTTATTTCGCCCCTAGGAAAAAAAACAAATTTCCGCCACGCAGGAGTTGTGCGCGTTGACAAGATCTTCCCGACGACACCAATTTGAAAACAATCGGAGAAAAACTGTAGAAGAAGATAGATAAAAACTGAAAAATCTCCAGGTTAGTATATAATACGCTCGGGGATGGCGTCCAGATGTCGTCGACTCCAAATCTTGTAGCCCCATCCCTAACGTTCTTAATTACACGGCCCCGATAGTTACATGTACACTCCTTGTCTTTTTACAAGCGTTTTTTACGGGCGCGCATTTACTGCCAGCCAGCCAGCCGACCAGCCAGCCAGCCAGCCAGCCAAAGTGAGATTAAAAGCTACTTTTTACAAAAAAAAATTTTTTGCAAAAATGCGCTAACAAATCGCTGAGAAAGCAATATACAGGGTGTGCAGTATGAGGATTTCGGAAAGTATAAAAGATACGAATTAGATTAACACTCCTTCAACCTAATTCGTAACCCTCATAAATCATTTTTTAACCGAAATAGCTTTTGTTTTGACATCACCAATGGATATATTTCTCGCAGACGTCTCAATCGCCCTTTGTGAATACTCTCTTCCGACAATCCGTTCTTGAGGTATAAAGGAATATACCCGATCACGATAAGAGGTCGAGGAGGAGGGCTATGGTTGGTAGAAATTAATTCCTTTCGTTGAGACCTTTCATTAGAGTACCATGAAGGATAAAACTAGTTCCACTCCCCCCACTGCCCCTCCTCCCCGTACTTTGATAAGAGGAGAGAAAGAAGGGCAGTCGTTGGTAGAAAACGGTTCCTTTTGTTGAGACCTTTAATTAGAGTACAATGAGAGATAACATTAATTTTAACCCCCTCCCCCTCGCCCGCCCCTCAGGCCCCGTCGCTTACTGATCTGGAAAAAGAGTCGCACGGGAAAGTTGTAGTTTGTACAAACCAATTTATTTCGATGAAACCTTTCATTAGAATACCATGAAGTGTAGAAAATGTGTTTATCCCCCCCCCCATTTTCTAAAGTTTAACTTTAACTTGGCACCACGTCGGCAGAACACGTCCGCTCGCTGTCCCAGAACACATTCGGAACAATTCCGACGTGGCACATACAAGGAACCACGTATTAGATGAAGTTGATGATGGTTTCTCAAGGACGAAACATCGCAGTGAAAATGTGTGGGTGCCATCTTGTAGAGCCTAAAAAGCGCCTATGAAAAAGTGTGTTTTTGGTATCTTTTCGAACAGGCGATAAAAACGAATGTGAGTAATTTCCGGGATTTTCGAATATCTTCGAAACTGATCGGATTTTCCAAATTTTTAAAACATCAACTTTTTTCTAATTTAACCGACTGACTGTGTGTCTCTCATGGTTTCCGATTTACCCATGCTGTTCATGTTTATCTTGGGCACTGTCTACAAGGTGAGTATTTTTTAGCGCATTTTTTAAGAATTAAAAATAATGTGCTATTGTTTGCGTTTTGTCCGTCCGTCCGGACCCACTTTTACCGTTTTGAACTACTTCTAGGGGAATGGTCTTGAAGGTGTGCCAGTCGGCCATCAAATTTCGCCGTCTAAAAGCCCCCCCCCCCCCCACGAATTATTCCCCGAGATGCTGTTTTTGAAAGTAAAACGTGCATAACTTTTACATGCGACAACAAATTGGTCTCAGAATTTGCATACGCATGCCTTTAATGGTGCCAAGTTAAACTTTACAAAATGTGTGGGGGGGGGGGGGTAAACACATGTTCTACCCTTCATGGTATTCTAATGAAAGGTCTCATCGAAATAAATTGGTTTGTACAAACTATAACTTTCCCGTGCGACTCTTTTTCGAGATCAGTGAGCGACGGGGCATGAGGGGAGGGGAGTTAAAAATTAATTTTTTTCACTACTAGGGTCCGAGGACATGATTATTAACCTTTTTTCCACTTGTAAAGTAGGCTTTCTCGGCATTTGTTCAAAGTGGTTAATAATGTGGACATTATTAACTAGTAGCCAATAATGAGAACTGTCACGCTGTCACTTTTAGAAAACACAACCCGAAATTCCGCTCAAAAAACGTTTTGACAAGTTCTCTAAAATGAATAATTGCCACCATCCGCATTTCCAGAGAAATTACATACCTAAAATAATCACATTTTGAAAAAATTCGAACGAAATTACTCTTTGAAAATATCTCAATGACAGAACAAAATACGGCCTGTTTGACTTGTACTTCCACGTACTTGATTGACATGTTAAATTAAGAAACAAAAAATTCTGTCCAACCGGTCACTTTCTTATCAATATAATATGTTAATTTAGAAGATTTCAAGTGCTAGTAGTGAAAAAAATAGTATATATACCACGGTAGAGAAGTCTATTATTGCCTTCGCACCTTACACCCCTCGGCGCAAGCGCCTCGAGATGTAATCTTTGTGCTCAGGCAATCATACTGTACTTCTCTACCTTGATATATAATGTACTATTATCTCTCATTGTATTCTAATTAAAGGTCTCAACGAAAGGAACCGTTTTCTACCAACTACTGTCTTCTTATCAAAGTACGGGGTGGAGAGGGGAGGGGGGTGAAACTAGTTTTATCCTTCATGATACTCTAATGAAAGTCCTCAACGAAAGGAATTAATTTATACCAACCATAGCCCTCCTCATCGACCTCTTATCGTGATCGGGTATACCTCAAGAACGGATTGTCGGAAGAGGGTACTCACAAAGGGCGATTGAGACGTCTGCAAGAAATATATCCATTGGTCATGCGCTTTATCTGCACAAGAGTTGTGCACAATTTATACTTGTTCTCCTCTGGGACCGGTGGGGCGGGATCACTGGTCTCCGTGACGATGTCCGTTGGTTCCGGTTGGGTGTAGGCAGAGTCCTTGCCGTTCTTTTTGGGCGAGCTCTGCTTGGTAAGTAGGACATGCGCGGCAGTTGGCAGGGTGTTCTCCGGAGCAGTTGGTTTGGTTGGTAACAGGGCACATACATCTCGGGGCCTATTCCCAGTTGAGAGTGGCCGA